TGGGTGAGAGCGGCAGGTCGGCTTGTCAATGTACTCAACATGCATACTTAGAGGATCATGGGACTTAGTAAATAGGTTATAATTAAGGTTATAAGTCCCCTGAGTGGGTTATGCCAATTAGATCCTACGTATAACCTTACTTACTAAGTCCCATTTTCTCCTTTAAGTAAACGTTTCACGGCACCCTTGAGAATGCCGTACGATCCGATCTGGGTTCCGTCGCTGAACGCGTGCTGGTGAGAAGTTCTCGTGTCCTTCAGAACCGTTCTGGGGGCGGGGTCTATCTCACTTCTTGCCGTTGGCGGGCGGGAGGGTGCAAGCTCAATCTACGTCAGGGTTTGGGTTACCCTAACCCGAGAGCAGCAGGCCTCTTGTTGCTTGAGAACCTAGCCGATCCCTAGATATGAAGAGAATTTTGTACCAAAAGGTATATTAGTCACAAAAGAGCCACTAGATACCTTATGTATGTTACTTATTTATATATGCACCATCGCGCAAAGACAAAGACGCTAAGCTGATTCTCTATGGGGTTCAGTGTTCCGAAGTGTGCATCTCAGGGAGTGACAGGATCCGGCCGGGTGTGGGGGTTGAGTGAGTTTAGGGTTTAGGGTTGCAGTAGGATGCTGAATGCGTAGGGGCCTTCGGGATTCCAGGGGATACTATATAATATAACGAGAATCTTGACTATGGGGGGGAGAGCATGACTGTCTACCGGTCTCAAAACATAACCACCGCAGTCTAATTGTAAATATTATCGCCCTTGGCAAAATGAACAATTTCGGCCCCTGCAGTACTTAAAGGCTCATGGGACTTAGTAAGTAAGGTTATAACCCCACTTAAGGGACTTATAAACCCAATTATAGCCTACGTACTACGTCCCATGATCCTCTACGCCTAACCCTAAACCCTAAGCCCTAAACGGCAGTAGTCGTCTTGCTAGTCAATCTGTTTAGGAAGGCGGGTCCAGAAGGTGCAATACAGAAGCCTAAACAGTCTGATTCCTGGTTGCAGGGTTCAAGATGTAACTTTAGATATTACAGAAACCTACAGTTTTGAAGAACACAATCACGACCAGTTATCATCGGGGCATTATTGACTCACTGGCCCAAAACCCAAGGGAATAAAAGTCGAAACTTTCAGAACTACTACATCATCAGAACCCCAAAAGTTGAAAAGTTGAGTTTACAGCCAATAAGTTAAGATTCAAACTAGGGTTTCAGGGTATGCTCTACTCTAGCCCTGGGCTGTTCGGTAAACCCAAGGGTCCAAAGGACCCAATAATTCGGTGCTCGCTTCTAGGATAGTAGTTATGCCGGTTAGGATTTTGGCGAGTATATTATTGGGTACTTGGACCCTTGGGGTAACTAACCCACTGGGAAAGAGTATTGACTTTCCTAGTTTAGTCATACTATGATATACTCTTTCCTACTGAACAGCCTGGTTCTTTAGGCCACCACATACTTCAGGCCTCTGTATTAAGTTACACCTGAAGCACGCGTCCTTCTTTCAGGGACTGCTGTCGATTAAGCTCAGTTCGCAGAATGTTCAGCTGCTCATCTACTGCTTCGTGCGAGCTGCACGGGAAGGACTTGACCTTAGAAAACAGAGCGAATTCCTGCCTCGGGTTCGGGTCTGCGGGTTGCGAGGTTTTGGGTTATAAGGTGTGCAACTGCATCAAGAAGCTCGAAGACTAGATTCCATTCAATTTCTGCTTCTGCAGATGCAGCGGCAGTGGGGAGACAACCTTTATTTGCAAGCGTTCTCTCGAGATCAGGATTGTACAGCCTGCTGTTCTGAAGGAAGTACAAACGCCACTGGATTTCAGGAGTTTGGCCCGACCGAACCATGCATGGCAACAGGTATAACGGTATACTCTTCAACCCAAGCAGCCAAGGCCAGCAGGGGCAGCCGTGCTAAGCTCCTGTTGATCTTGCGTAGATCCTTCCGCTCGAAGTCCTGACCAAAAGGCTGCTGTCCGCACCTCAACCCTCCATTACTTAGAGGATCATGGGACTTAGTAAATAGGTTATAATTAGGGATATAAGTCCCCTAAGTGGGGTTATCCTAATTAGATCCTACTTATAACCTTACTTACTAAGTCCCATTTTCTCCTTTAAGCAACCCTGGGCCCCACCACCCCATGCCCTTGAAATCATGCACCCCATAGTCATAGCCGAACCCTGAACCCCTTAGTCTAAGGAAGATATACCTTAACTTATGATACGGATCCCCTACAATTCAAGGTGAAGGGGGATTGGAGTGCCCGGGCAAACCGTAAACCCTGCAACGATAGAAGCTGTCCTGGAATATGCGTTGTGGACTTGACTGCGGCTCCTTCTCAAGCAAGATTTTAGGGTATCGCGTTTAGGGGTTTAGGGTTTAGGGGCTTTTAGGGTTTAGGGGTTTAGGGGTTTAGAGGTATTTAGGGTTTAGGGATTAGGGGTTTAGGGGCTAGGGGTGTAAGGTTTTAGGGTCCGACTGCAGCTCCTTCTTAAGCAAGACCAGGAGACCCCAGGCTTCCTCGGCGATCTCGCAGTCCTCCAGTCGCTTCCTCGGCTTTCGACACATCGATTAGGGCTTAGGGTTAGGGTTTAGGGTTTAGGGGGTTTAGGATTTACCGGATTTAGGAGTTTAGGGGTTTAGGTTTTAAAGGGGTTTAAGTTTCAGGGCTTCGGGTTTAGGGTTTACGGTTTACTGTCTGGTTCTTAGAAGGGAGTGGAGCAACGGCTTATGGGGACTGCTTTTGGGGGAGTTTTTTGGGACTACTTTAGGGATCCATTCCCCCCATTCCCTACAAAGCACAAGACAGCTTCGGGTTTAACTCTGAACCCTACACCTAAACCCTATACTATTAGTATATAGTATGATCAAAATCTGGCAACGCTAATACAGGTGCCACCACGACGGCAAGCGCATTAGGACCAGCACGACAAAGAACAACGACGCCGCAGCATAAGCAGCAACACAAACCGCAGCAATGGCGACAGGAGCGGAAGAAACACAAATCCATTGCAGTGATAGTGGCAGTAGAAAGCATGAAGTCAGGAGCACCGACTACAAATACAAGCGATGACTAATAACACTGCAACAGCATGACAATATCGTAGTGCCGTATTGAATCGAGCAGGGCCTTTGGTCAGCAAGGGTTGTATTGCATATTAGGTTCTAGTTCAACAAGGAAGAGACGCGGACATTAATATTAATTACTCCGATGCCGATGCTAACTCATAGCTCAGTTGCAGAATGTGTGGCCACAAGACGGTCCTGATGTCTGCCTCTTGCATTGTCTGCATGATCAATCGTCGGGATTGATCCAACTTGACCGGCGGCCTGTTCTAGGATACCCAGGAACCTAAGAATAAAAAGCCCTCTCTTTTTGGTATTGGGTAACTTTATAAGGAACCTAGGACTACAAAAAGGGAATAAGGGTACTACTGGGGATCCTAGTGTTTCTTGGGACTAAGCTTTAAGCGCTTCCGGCAAAGGTTGTAGAGGGGATCTATGGGCCCAGGTCCAGAGCTGCGGCAATCTAGGTTTAGGATTTAGGGGCTTGGGTTCCAGGCAGGTACCCAGAGACTCCAATATCCCTAATTAAGGAGTATACCTTAAATTCTAGAAGGATCCCTTATATATGATTTAAGGAAGATTCCTTAACTAAGGGATATTGGAGTCTCTGGGTAGTGAGGGCGCAGGTGCAGCGAAACAAAACGAGAAATGAGCCGCCTTGGCCAGGCAAGAGTCACCTCACAACAAGTCCTCCTGGCAAACGGAGGGGCTACCCAGAGAGCCCAAGACCCCTTAATTAAGAATATAGCCTAAATCATAATATGAAGGCCCTTATGATTTACGGTATATTGCTTTCTCAGGGGTATTGGGCTCTCTGGGTAAGTACCCTATCGCAAAAAAGGTTAGCCTACAACTTACGAAAAGTTATGAACAGTTATGGTGGGGTTTAACTCCACAAGGTCGCGCGCGCCTGCAATGCATCTCATGGCAGTAGCAGCAGCTGGCGCCAGCAAGACACGATCTTCCGTTCGCAATGTGCACACATGGCCTTTGGTAGAGCTCTGGGTCTAGAGTTTGGGGTTTAGGGGTTTCGGGTTCGGGGTTCGGGTTTTAGAGGTTTACGGTTGTTTAGGGTTGTGTTTGGAGTTTAAAGTTTTAGAGGTTTGCGGTTTAGGGTTTAGCACGCGTGGCCTTTGGCAAAGCTCTGGGTGTCCCCAACTGCCACGGGAAAGCGGTGCGTCGGGGAGGAACCTGCCAACGTCCTCCTGCAGCAAGGCCGCTCATCAGTATAGATTTCCCAAACCCAGCGGCGAAACCCTAAAATCCAAATTGGCCTAAACACGAAACCCTTAAACCCTCCGGCCTCTCAAAAGCCTACTTGTCGGGTATCATGGGGAACTAAAGGTTAACCTTTTTGATTATATAGGGATTATACTACCCCAAAAAGGTTAAAGGTTACCTACTGTACTACTAGGAAAGTCTTTGGAAACTCCGGATCCCCTGACCTCGAGCCCCGGCGGCGGCCGAAAGAAAGCAAGGCGAGTTGCAGTGGCCATCAGCCCAAGTACTTGGGAATGCGAACTGGAAGGAACTCGCCGGACCCTGTGGCCAAAAGGCTCGAACTGGAATTGCGGATATAGGGATTCGTTCTTCCCCCCGTGCTCGTCACCCATGGGGGCTCATGTAGACTCAAAGCCAACCGAAAACGCCTCAACAGAACACCTCGAACCCCGAAGCCGCAAGACCCTAAGCATTTGAAGAAGCTACTCTACCTGAGCGTCCTAAGTACCTATATGAGGGATACTTTTCCAAACCATAGTAGTGATTCCTGATATATGGAAACCCTATATTTCATTATGTAGGTACGCACTTAATGTAAGGGCCTTGATCATATTACACAATAATATTAATTCTTATAAGCAGCCCCCAAAACTCTAGTCTAATTATCAAGGCCCCTACACTAAGCAGGACGCTTTAGGGTCTGTGGGTGGCACCGCCACGGCAGCTTCCACATCTTCTACAGCCGCTTCCAGGGCACCGACCTTGCAGGAGGTGTGAGGGTTTATTGGGGCTTTCATGAATGTTTAAGGTTTTGGGCTTATACTTCGGATCCTCTAACCCTGGGCATCAAAACAGCCCAAAAGCCTTATAAAGTGTTGTCTTTGGGCTCCAAAGCCTTAATATATGAGTCCTTATATCCCAGGGCAAGGAAGCCCAGAAAAAGAAATACATCGGAGACTACAGGTAGGGTTCAGAGCCAGTCCAGGGCTTCAGAGTGTAGCGGCTTGTTTTTTGAGGGTTTAGGGTTTGGTTTCGGGTTTAGGGGTTTCGGGGTTTAGGGGCTTCGGGTTTAGGGGTTTAAGGTTTAGGGGTTTAGGGGTTTAGGGTTTCGGGTTTAGGGGTTTAGGGGTTTCGGGTTTAGGGGTTTAGGGGTTAGGGGTTTAGCGGCTTAGGGTTCAGGGGTTTGTGGCATGGCTTGGAGGGGTGCGGTGGAGATGGTGAAAGGTCTTTTAAACGTTTGCAGTGGCTTGGATCTCACAGCATTTCAAGAACGTCCCAAACTCTGCCCAGAGAGCCCAATACCATTTAAATAAGGCATATAGCTTAAATCATAATACTAGGCCCCTTATAGTTTAAGGTATATTGCTTAATTAATGGGTGTTGGGCTCTCTGGGTAGGACCCCAGGAGCAATGGTGCTGTCGCCAGAGAGACATGGTAAGAACAGCATGGCACTGCGACGGAAACAGCCCCTACGGGTGCCAAGTACCTATATGAGGGAGCCTTTCCCACACCACAATAATGTATGACTCATAATGTAGAATCAGCCTTTGGGAGTAGTCGCATAGATCTAATTATCGGCTTCGGTTTCCTTACACCTCAATCCCCAGGCACCAACTCCAAAGTAGGGTTTGAGGGTCCACGGGGCTACTAGGATACGGCCCGCGTGAAGGGAGGTTGCTTCGGTTTTGGGAAGAACCAGGTCAGGGATCGCAATACCACGAAATTAGGGATTTAGGGTTTAGGGCTTAAGGGGAATATACCTTAAACTATAGGGGGCTTAAAATTATGGATTAGGGTCTATTCCTCAAATCAGGGGTATTGGGATCTTAAGGAGCCTGGCATGAAGAGTGCCTTTCGCGCTTGCTGCTATGGCTTACTAGAGGGGTTCCTTCCCGGTAGCTCTGAGGTTACTGCACAGGGTTACTATAGGGTTGTTATTTTAAACGATGGTGGCGATCCCTTTCTCCAAAGCTCGCCGGCCTGGTGCGGTACTGTTTAGTACTGAAAAGACCTACAAGGGAGTTTCCGGAAATAGGGGACCCTACCTTGATAAACCCTAAACCCCTAAACCCCTAAACCCTAAACCCTCATGTAGTACACTAAATCGCTAGGATCATTCTTATAAAAGAGCCCAGGATGAGGTACCCCTTGTTTTCGGAAACCCCTAAACTGCCCTAAACCCTAAACCCCTTATAGAACCCTTATAGATACCCTTTAAGGAACCCTTCAGAGTAAGCCCATATTTTTCGGAAACCCCTACAACTGAAAACCCCAACTTCTCGAGCTGGAAGCTTGCATCTAGCCATGCAAGACAGGCTTTAATCGAAGAGGTATATAACCCCAGAGAGCCCAATATCCCTTCATGAAGGAATATAGCTGAAATCATAAGATGTAGCCTCTTGTAAGTTAAAGTTTCTTCCTTAATTCAAGGATATTGGGCTCTCTGGGATCTTACGCACAGGCTTACATAATCCTAAACCCTGAATCATAAACCCTAAATCCTAAACCCTACGCCCTAAACCCTAAGCGTGTGTGTGCGAGAACAATAAGGACGGGCTTAGGCAGCTGCCGGCAGGCCGGAGAAAGCGTGAAGCCTCGCAAGGTTAAGGATGGCTTATTGAGCGTTTATAGCGTTTAAGGCTTCGGGCTTATAGGGTTTAAGGTTTAGGGTTCTTAAGGATGGAACCTGCTTTAAGGCTCCGAGTATATAGAACTAATACCTACTTTCTATCTTAGGCTCTGAAGTCTACGAGTAGTACCTACTTCGGGTTTGAGGGAGTCGTGGGGCTGTGATGGTGCAAAATATGGGAACCTGGTTAAGATACTTGAGGTCTTTGTTTATGATGGCTACTACTGTTCTTTTTGTAGCATGCTGAGTAGTACTCGTATTCTAGTAGTGCTAGTTCTGCTACTGTTGCTAGTGGAAGTAGGCGAACTTTTCTTGCTTACGAACTTCAAGGTTCCTTGATCAGGTTCCTGCACTACATACCCGCAGCCAAAAAGCTTCTGGAGACGGAAATGGCACCAACATGACGGGCTGCCCGTAAAGAAACACCATAATCAGGAACTCTAACAAGGTACGTCATCAGGAACCCTGACAAGGTACATAATCAGGAACCCTAACAAGGTGCGTAATCAGGAACCCTAAGAAGGTAGGGTTTTGCGGCTACAGCTACGGTTTAGGGTTGAGCTCTGACTACCGGCTTTGAATCTCCCATGACTGGGGTTTGGGGTTTTTATATAGGGTTTCAGGCCAAAGGTTCGTGGCTCAAGGCCTAGGGGGACATATAGACAAGGAGGCCAACGGGGTTGCGTTTAGGAACATTGGGTTTAGGGTTTAGGGTTTTAGGGTTTAGGGTTTTAGGGTTTTAGGGTTTTAGGGTTTAGGGTTTAGGGTTTAGGGTTTAGGGTTTTAGGGTTTAGGGTTGAACAGTGGTCGCAAAGCTATACCACCACGATCACAGCGCGCCATCTAATCGACTTTCTAGCTACCTATCCGCCGGCCTATGGACCTGCGCATCTGTCTGTTTACCTGGCTAGCTATCTATCTAACTGTCTATCTATCTATCTCAACACATCCTGTAGAATGAGTTGAGGCAGTGACGCGCAGCTTAACGTCACGCCGGCAAGACATCTTCACATTCCGTAAGGGTGCATGTACCCAAATAGTACATCCTGTGAACCCAAGGTACCTGCTTCTAGGGATTACTTTAAGGCCAGTGTATATACTATATGAGCCAAGTGAAACTAAGTTTAACGACGGACTCTGGTGTAGGGTTTACCTTGACCTCAAAATCAGACTAAGCCAACCTGAAAAGGTTAGGCTTTTGAGGTCCAGGTATAGTATAAAGTAATAAGGGCCCCTGCGGGTCTTAATCAGCTAACCACTACGGCTGATGATATAAATCCTGCACTACCCATGCCATAACTAGGACTTTACAATAATTCCCATAGTTTCGGGTCCTTAATCTCATAATAAGGCATATACCATAGTTCCCGTAGTTTAGGGTCCTTAGGGTAATGCAGTATCATCAACCGGGGGGGTCCCTGAAGTTACAGGCATAGGGGTAAGCCGAGAGCCCTGACCCTACAACCCCCCAAACCCTAAACCCCAAACCCGAAACCCTAAACCTTAAACCCTAAACCCTAAACCTTAAACACTAAACCCTAAACCCTAAACCCTAAACCCTAAACCTTAAACCCTAAACCCTAAACCCTAAACCTTAAACCCTAAACCCTAAACCCCTAGGAACCTTAAGACCCTGGGCCCTTATTTTAGGGTTCCGTTAAAGGGGTCTATAAGGGTTACTACGAGGGATGAAGGAGGCTACTATAACACTGTAGGAACCTGATTAAGAAACCTTGGGCCTTTCTTTATTTAGGGTCCTTATATGAATCCTGCTATTTTGGGGGCTCTAGGCCCGGGATTTCCTAATCTACATTGAAACCGGAAACCTCAACCCTAAACACCCATCCTCAAACCCCAAACTTGAAACCCTGAACCTCCTTCATGCACGGAGAACTCACAACCCGGAGAGCCCAGTACCCCTAAACTAAGGATATATATATATATATATATATATATATATATAGCTTAACTCATAATATGAAGCTCCTTGTAATTGAAGGTATGTTGCTTAATTAAGAGGTATTGAGCTCTCTGGGAAGCTCTTGCGAAGCCTCTGCCCAATGTCGCAGATGTATGCGTCGGATCCTGCCTGGCTTTCAGTCTGCAAGGCTTCACTAGGATGCCTAGTAACCTAGGAATAACAAGGGCTCCCTTTTTTTGGTATTGGGTCACTTTTTCAGGAACCTAGGACTACAAAAAGGGAATTAGGGTACTACTGGGCATCCTAGCTTAGGTTTTGGGTTAGGATTCAAGCGTTCAGTCCTTCGGTTCTTGTGTTTCGGTTTTAGACTTTTCTGTCAAAGTTGATGTGCACCCTTTCTCTAAGAGGCGCTGGCATTTTGCCCTCAACTTAGTGAATCTAAACTCCCAACGATTTCGCCGATCTCAGGGTTCTAGGCTTTGGGGCTTCAGGTTTTAGGCTTTCATTATTCATTGGCATCCACGAAAGTCTCTAGGTCAGTCTTACTGGGTGTGCGGATTGCAGGCTACGGTTTTCGAGGCTCGGGTTTAGTCGAAGACTTCGGTGTTCTGCACCCCTCTAGCCCGATATGTGCTCTTGAAGCCCCCCCCGCCGCTTAAACCCCTAAACCCTAAATTTCTATACCCCCCCCCCCACCAGAAACCCCTACGCACCTAAGGCCCTCAACCTGCAGCACGGACATGTGGGTAGTTGTCAAAATTAAGGTCCCTTTTTGGGTACCCTAATAGGTGCCGTATTACATTAATTGAGGACCTACAAACGGACCCTAATTTGGACAACCGCCCATGTATTCCTGGCAGGGCACTCGGCCTCAGGGACCCCCAGACCGCTTGACCCCTGCACCCCTTTTCGACACCCCCAGCCTAGAGTCCTGCACCCTACCCCGACTGCTAACCCTGCCCTACCCCCACCCCTCTCAATGCATCGACCGTCACTTGTTTCCAGGACCATCCCCCTTCCCTAGAAGGTTAATCTTTCAGTTTGTTGAAGGTGACCTACTTAGCTACTGACACACGAAGGTTTGTGGTGCCAGCATTCAGCTTTTGACGGGTCTTGCAACTGAGAATACGGTGTTTCTGTGATGCACATGGTATAGAATACATGACTAGCTTATACATACTGCTTAGCTTACACATACTAATGATAGTTTATAACATGACATATGTCATATGATATCACACCGTATTATACACACATATATATATATATATATATTCTATTATATTATATTATATATTATATATATGTACTTATGTGTGTGTATATACACACATACATACATACGTACATACATACGTACATACATACCAGGTAGACTGTATAGTGTGCACATAACATCTGGTGAATGTTATATGTTATGTGTCGCACAGTATACTGTTTCATGCACAGTACATAATGCACAATAGTTCGCGCAATATAATATAAAGTGCACTGTGTAAATTACGGAATACACTTTGTTTGACTTGTGACACATAATATTTATGTACATTGCTAAGAGTATGTACATACATACATACCTACATGCATACACACATATACTGTATGCACAATGACATATAAATCATTGCCTACAAGAATATGACACTGTATAGTTTCATATCCCCGTGAATTACATTATAAACGACAACTACATTTTCCACAATTTGCTGAACTAGGTTTCCGCAGAATACATATTTCAAAACATGTATGGAAAAGGGCCTGAGCCGAGATGGTGACGCCGAAAGGAAGTGCTTCACCGGCCCACATGGTGGGCACGGCTAAGCCGCCTTTCCGATGTGATTTTATGTTGCTTCTGGGAGGCTGTAATAAAGTTCGGGTATTTGTCTTGTGGTTCTTGAAAGGATGTAGGAATCCGCAAGGGATACTCACCAGGCTTGTTGCAGTCGCGTCTGAGTTTTGACGACTCAGGAGGCTGGGATTTGCAGCAACTAGAACCAGCTCGGTCTATGCGATGAGGTTCGCGTAGGTCGTAGGGGGTAAGGTTTGGCTGCGATTCAGTCAGGTGTTCGGTTCAAGCACTGCTCAGTGCTGTGCTTCATTCCGGATGGTAGTCGATATAGCTCTTACAAGTGTCGTGGGATTTCGGGGTCTTCAGCAACGCTCAACTCGCAAACCCTAAACCTGACCCTAAGCCACGAACCCAGCTTGGCCACTTCAGAATTTAGACCCGACCCAATGCTAGCTCTGGGCTTTGGGGCTTTAGGGTTTTCTGTTTAAGGGTGGTTGAAGGGTCGGGGTTCTGAGGCTTGGGGTTTATATGGGCTTATATGCCCCATGCCCGCTGCTACCATCTGGACCCGAAGCTGCCACAGGGGACTGTTAGGGTTTGGGGAGTAGGGTTTATGGACAGTTTAGGGTTGTCGCCAAAGGGCCTGAGAGTGCTCTGAGCGATTCGGGGCTTCACACAACATCTGAGAAGCACGACTTGCGCAGTGAATGACACCTCAACCAACGAACTACCTAAAAACAAGGATCCCTAAACACTAAACCACAAATCTTAGTTCCGTGTGTAGAGGCTCTTGCCCCGAGGGCACCTATTTAGCGGGGTTACTGTTAAATACTCTTTGAGTAATAATTCCAGAGGGTCCAAGTACTCCCTATTATAGGACTTTAAGACATTTTGAGGTACCAAGAACCATAAATTCGGACAACTTGGACCGTTAGGGCACTCAAGAGCCAGGAACTGGAACCATTGTTACTGGATTACAGATGTATGAACCAATACTGCTTGGACCCTTAGGGAACCCAACCTTTACGTAACTGGAACCCTGTTACTGGGTTACGGGTTCGGAGGTCAAAAAACAAAATTCAGGTAACCGGAACCCTTTCATTTGCAATCCCAGGCACAGAGATCAAGCAGGTTCATGTGGTTTGTGAAGCCTCGGCTCACAACCCCCCCGGCTTCGCTTTGCGGGAAGTTTTGGGTTTGGCTGTCTGCCGGGTTTGGTTTTGAGTTCAAGGCCCTGAGTCCCAACCCGACAGCCTGAAACGCTCCAAACTAACACCTGTTGGTTTCAGGGTTTAGGGTATCCCTCTGAACCCTAAACCCTAACCCGACACCCTAAACCCTAGGCCCTACATCTCCGAAGGACCATCGGGCATCGGAAAAGAAACATGCTCTTCACGGCAGGGACCCTGCTATCGCAAGTATTATTGAAGCGGGGGTGTTGGCTCGCGGTTCAGCGCTTACGGTCTTGGCCAGGTATGTCCAGCTACATCTTAACATGGTTGGTATCTTACCCAAAGGGTCCAAGTATCATCATGGTATATACTTCGACCCTCAAAATGCCTTTTATGTATATACCAGAATGATACTTGGACCCTTTGGGTTACTAGTTAATGACGGCAAAATCCATCCCAAAGTGAACCGGGCACACAGAATTCACGAACTCGGTCTAGGGTTGAGGCGTCTGTGTAAGCAGACTGACCTAGCATTCAACCGAAAACCCGACCCGCACACCGAGGTGCACGGGGAGGCAGGTGGGAAAGTGGTAAATCGCCTATATAGCTACCAATCGAAGTCTCCAGAGGCCAGACTGCACTTTGAAAGGCACCACGACACCATCAACTTCTTATATCCAGAATCGCCCCCTGTAGCGGTATGTACATCCTCTTCCCAGTGGGCAAAACATAAAACAAGGCCACCCGGCAAAATCAACTACTTCCATACTAGTCAGTCTCTGTGCCGGGATACGTCCAAGATTTGTGTTCAGTGCGATTGGATCCGCCAGAACATCCTACCCAGCGAGAGTCCCCGATTTCTGGGTGGACCCAACCAACAAGTAGATCCCTTAAACGAGCTCTTTTAACGCACCTGCATAGCAGAATGTTGGGTTTCTAAGACACGAATTACGATCATGGTTTGGGCAAGTATCCCCCATATATGTACTTAAGACCCTTAGGGTACCCAAAACTGGGGAATTTACTCTTCCTCGCGGGTGCCTGGGTCTTCTCCATTACGCGCCCCATAGCCCAGAGCCGCCCGAAGCCCTTCCTTGATCGACCCAAGCCTGCTTTTTGTGTAGCGTCCTCATATATTCTGCGTTAGGCCTTATGAGAAGACGATAAGAACCTCCATAAAGGCAGGTTCTGTTAGTTTAGCGTAACTTCCGTAATTGGACCCTGGGTCAAAATCTCAATCTGAATGCAGATTGCTCCATGTGTAGGAGCACACTTTCAACGCGGACTGAGGTGCCTGGTTCTGCGAAAAGGGTGTTTTGGCTAAAACGCTCCTACGTAGTTTCCCACCCACAGCCCGAATTCTAGGATACCCTGAACCCTTAAACCCTAAACCCTTAAACCCTACACCCTTTTGCATCCAGGCCTATTGCGACTGCCGGGCAAACCCTCAAACCCAGAACCCGAGCCCGAAACCCTACCCCAAGCCCGAAACCTGAACCCCAAACTCCAAGAGGGTGTAGGTGTAACAGAAGGCCTGTAGGTCAAACCCTAAATCCTAAACCCGAAACCCCTACACCCCTAAACCCCAAATCCCTAAACCCCTAAGCCCTAAACCCCTAAACCCTAAACCCCTAAACCCTAAACCAATTTCATGGATCGGACCCTGCTGGGCACGCCCTAAACTCTACACCCAAACACTGCATCCGAGTCTGGGAAAAGGAAATGCACCATAAGCACCCTCGTAGTACCCTTATAGAGCCCTTGTAGAATCTCGATAGAACCCCTGCTCTATCTGGATGCTGTAGACCTGACGCCGATTCCGTCACCCTCCCGCCAAGAAGTCCTCAATCTTGTAGGTGGCACCCACAGTGGGGGTGACCAGCACCTGCAAGCACCCGGGCGCAAGAACAAAATCCGCAGCACAAGCACCCTGAACCCCAAACCCAATATCCGAAACCTCAAATACTCGCAGTGGCAGTGATGGCAATCGCAACTCGAATCTCAAACCCCGCTTGCATCGGGGCCTTAATGCTTAAAGTAATGATTTGGGCCACGTGAACTACTTACTTGCGCAGTATCCTGGGGGAGCTAAAAGTAAGCCTTTTTGATTATATATAGGGATGACGGTATCCCAAAAAGGATAAAGAAAGCCTACTCTACCTCTGCTGCTACTACGACTATTTGTTTTAGTACTACTGCTACTTCTACTACTACTACTACTACTACTACTACTACTACTACTACTACTACTACTACTACTACTACTACTACTACTGCTGCTACTGCTGCTACTGCTACTGCTACTGCTACTGCTACTGCTACTGCTACTGCTACTACTACTACTCCTGCTGCTACTACTACTAATACTACGACGACCCCTACATTATCTGCCTCTGGCCTGAGCCTTCGCTGCTTCCATACTCGCTTCGGCTGCCCGGTGGAGGGCTCGCATCCGGTAGCTGGCCTCAAAGCACCTCGGTGTTCCGGGCTCAGGGTTTAGGGTTTGGGGTTTAGGGCTTAGGATTTTAGGGCTTAGGTTTCAAAGCACCTCGGTGTTCCGATTGCTCCGATTGCTCTCTTAGGGTTCAGGGTTTGGGGTTTAAGGCGAACTCTGCTTGTTCTTGTTGCAACAAGAGCAATCGGAAGGCTTGCGAAACGCACTTGGCTTGGGTTGCAGCAGTGCTAGGTTTGGGGTTTGGGACTTAGGATTTTAGGGCTTAGGATTTCGGGCAAGAGACGCCTTTTGGTCCTTTTTTCGGGTGCTTCAAACCTGATGCAGGATACTGCGTGTCAGCACTCCCCAAGCATCCTTCCACAGAGCCTTATGGTCCTTAATACTGTGCTTAGGAACAAAGGGGAGGGGGGGGTTGATGGTTGGCTCTCTATCGAAAGCCTGCCTTGGTTAGGTTTAGGGCTTAGGATTTGGGGTTTCAGGGTCTTCGGCTTGGGCTTCGGGCTTTGTCTGCGAGGTGACGGGTGTGAAGTTTCGGGCTTGGAGTCTTGGGTCTTGGATTTGGGGTTCTAGGACCAGGTCTAACTATAGGTTTTGTGGTCCCGGAATCTCAATGTGATCGGCTTTTGGCTTTATTTCAACTTGTAATGGGCCCTGATCTCTGTAGGCCCTAAGCCGTTACTGAAGCTTAGACCGAAAAATCGTACAAATCACGACAAAATCATGACAAGAAGGAGATAGGAATGATACTAAAACTATAGAAACAAGGAAAAGGAACATTGCAAACTAACAATACTAATAGTTAGAACATGACAATAGCAATACGTAACCAAAACGACGTAATACAGTACTAAGAACTGACTGTAATTCTGCACGCTCCCGAGCTTGAAGCTGCTGCGCAGTGTAATGATGCCCTTGCTCCACGATCTTCCTGTGGAAGATTTTGAAGACTGTGGTGTGGGGTTTAGGGTTTGTGACCTTGAGGCATCTAAACTATGGAACCAATGGTATATTTCTTATTATAAATTATGGGTAATGCAGGATTTATATCATCAACAGTGTGGTTTGGGATTGGGGCTTAGGGGTGGGGGGGGTTATAAACTGTAGGAAGCTTGCGACTTGTGGCTTAGAGTTTCGGGCTTTGGGTTTTCAAGGAATTTAGGGTTTCATGTGGGAGCCTCATTAAGAAACCCTGGTTCTATAACCCCAGAATAATAGGATTTATATAAGGAGCCCTAATAAAGACCCAGGGTTTCTAAATGTCTTAAGTCTGAGGGTTGCTGTGGACTCGCGACAAAGAAATCTACAGCAGCTGCATACCCCATAGGCTCCTAGGTACTATTATGGGGGATTCTTCCCCAAATCGTAATACTACTTCCCATTATAGAAACCCTACATTCTACAATATGGGTACTTTGGCTACTGAAACGAAGTCACTCCTAACGTAGATGCTCAACTGTGCGCGATGCAGCAAATGCTTCGTTGTCAGATCCTTCGCATGCACATACCTGCAAACATGGTCCTCGGGCTCAAGTAGCAAGAACAAGCTTCGAAGCTGTATATGGCTTCCAGTCCTGGCTAATAAGACGAGCTTCAAGAGGTGCAGCGTGTTGCTGACCTCAAAACACAACATCACTTTGAGCAATCCCTTTGGCTTATTCGAACGATTGCAAACTTAAAGCCCCTAATGTCGGAACCTGATTAAGAAACCCTGGGCATATAACCCCAAACAATAGGATTCAAACAAGGAGCCCTAAGAAAGGCCCAAGGCTTCTTAATCAGGTTCCTACATTACTATAGTACCCTTATAGCTCCCTGGTAGTAACCCTTATAGACCCCTTTAAAGGAACCCTAAAAAAAGGTTCCTACATCATGGTTTACCGCTCTCGGCCTCACCGTCGGCTCGATGACCTGAACCAGGAGAGAGACGGTCGGGTTTTGGGGCTCAGACCTTCCAAAATCCCTTAATTAAGGGTTTGGGGTTTAGGGCTTAGGGTAGCGATATGCCTTCAGTTATAGCAGGATACCTATTATGATGCACGGTGTATTCCTGAATTAAGGGGCTTTGGAAGGTCGATGGGTTTTGGGTTTAGGGCTTGGGTTTAGGGTTTAGGCATGAGCTTCCGGTCACGGCATGCTCATGCGAGCAACATGTGTGATTGCAGAAGAGGTCTTGCGACTGGCATCAGAGTACGAGGTCAAGAGTCTAAACTCCATGCATAAATCCCTAGTGCAATGATATAGAAAGAGCAAACCCTTCGCTACCAAACCATTTAGTAAGCCTTAAAGCAAATCTTTCGTTAATGACCGCTCTAGTAAAGCTACCAAATACAAACTGCAAAGCGGCAGAGGGCCGGATAAACCCCTTATATACATACTTACATACCCGAAACCCTAAACCCTCCCTACACTCCTAAATCTTAGGCTCCAACCCCTACGCGACATCAAAGGAAACACACACACACACACACTTCCATGTCCAGTATCCTACTTAGAGGATGATGAGACTTAGTAGTTAGGGCTATAAAGAAAATAATTTTAAGTAGAGTTATAATTACTTAGAACTCCAATTCAGGTACTTATAACCTTACTTACTAATTAAGTCCCATGATCCTCCAAGTGGGGGAACTAAAGGTTCACCTTTGGGATTACCACCCCAAAACGGCTAAAGTTTTAGGGTTTAGGGTTTAGCCCTACTGTACTACTGAGCGCTGCAAAATGCCTGACTGCCTTTTATGTACGCGAAAACCCTAAACTTCAAAGCTTCCCATATACATCCCCTTGTAACAACCCTAAACCCACAAAAAAAAAGGAAACCCCAACACATTCCCTTTGTGCCTCGTTTGAACCCAAAACCTTAATCCTCAATCCCAAACGACACTTAGAGAAATGCAGTGCAAAATGCCCTTCCCACACACGTCGTTCCTTTGTAGTAACCCTAAACCCAAAACCCGAACCCCTGAACCCTACTGCCCTAAAGAATGCCCAGAGTGCTCTTTGTGCCTCATTCGACTTCTGAAGCCTAACCCTAAAGCTTCAAACTCTATGAACGATATTTAAAGAAACCCTAACACTTCAAAACCCAAACAAAAATTAAAGACACCCTATGTAAAATGTTGCCTATGAACGATATTTCAAGAAACCCTGACACTTCAAAATCTAAAGAACAATTTACAGAAACCCTCAAAAAGTTGCCCTTTGCGCCTCGGGATCCTCCTGCAGCAGGGCGGCGATCGCGGCCAAACGCTCGGCGACCCAGGGTCCCTTGTGGGGGGAGCTGGGGTTTTGGGGGCTTCTTTTGAGGGATCCCTTAAGGGTTGGGGTTGAGGGTTAAGGGGTTAGGGGTTAGGGTTTAGGGCTAAGGGTTTAGGGTTCAGGGCTTAGGGTTTAGGGTTTGGGGTTTAGGGCTTAGGGTTTGGGGTTTACGGTTTACGGTTTAGGGCTCGGGGTTCCTTTCAGGGATCCCTTAAGGGTCCCTAGTGGCGGGCATGGGTTTGGGGCTTAGGATTTTGGGGGCTTTTTTTTGCCAAGTTGGGGTGACTCGCAAAATCGTGGGTTTGGGGTTTGTGTTTTTGGGGATTGCGGTCAGGGGTTTGGCGCTTTCAATGTTAGGGTTTGGGATCTAGGGTTTGGGCTTTGTGATCTTAGGGTTTGGGATTAAGGAGTCAAGGTTGTTCAGGGTTTGTCCGAAACCGCAACCCCATGTAAGGGAAACGATAAAAGAGTTAAGAGGCTAGTTAACTGTTGGGCTCAGCATCCAGTGAAAGTTTAATTACGCAGGGATGGGGCTTAAGAGAAACCCCTGGAATCAGAGAAGCAACGGAACTTCGTGCATCAATGAACATTTCATAATGACGCTCGTGAATTAACGATGAGATGACAGAATCGGCTGTAACATGCAAACCTTAAATCCTCAACCCTAAATGCTAAACCTTCAAAGGGTTTATAGCGTTTCGGGTTTGGCACCTTTTCCTGTCGGGTTGCTGCGCAAAGTGACCAACAAAACCTGTCTGGGAATGCATGATGCGAATGTGCAGCCAGTTCATGCATTCAAGGCCTCTTGTTTCAAAGCGCAAAACCTTAAGGATTCAAACAAACCCTCCTGCGAATCCAATTCCTTGAGCCCGAAACCCCAATGCCCGATAACAACAACATAGCTCTCATGGACGCATGGTCCAAATCTGAAACGGAAGTGCGTGGTTGTGGTGGAATCCTGGCGCAAGCTTCCTCAACCCTAAACCCGAAACCCGGAGCTATCCTAAACTCGATTCCCCATGCAATGATGCCTTGTTTCGTACCAAGACTCTTAACTTGGTTTTGCTGCATGTGTTTTCTTCCTTCGGAACAATGAAGTCGCGACAACTGTCAGCCTTCAGCCCTACCGTCACAAATCCTAGCCAACTTCTGATCAGGGTTCCCTCGCTTATTTTCCAAGAGTTTGGGTGGCTTCGAATTTGATGACTCTTCGGAGGTTCCACTACACCCTAAACCCTAAACCCTCAGAAAGTTGAATGCGCGAAAGCCCTGTTCCTAAAACCGAAACCCAGGGTGCACCTGGTAGAGCAGATTCGCTGCCTGTTTTTCTAGGGTCTAGGACTTGGGGTTGGGTTTGCTTGTAGTCTCCATTGTATTTCCTTTTTGGGGCTACCTTACAGTAGGATCCTAACTATCGAAGTGGTAAAACATGAATGCACAAGGGACTATATATAGGTAGGGTAGAAATTGGTGGGCATGAAGGATCTGGACCCTCTCTTCAAAATGGCTGAGGGGAAGGCAAAGGGCAACATTGCGGAACAATGATACGGTTGATCATATAAATCCTGCATTACCTTAAGGATTTATATCATCAACAGTAGCTTGGTTATATCGACCTACGTTTACCCCGCCCCAAGTACTTCACCAACTGCAAAAACATTATGCATCTGAAATCGAGACACCGCTCGCAAAAGCACAAAGGGCCTAAGCACCAACGTCTTAAACATGGCCACACGAGAGATCTAGAGTGGTGCGTTGACTCAGGAGTGTTGTGACCGAGATACGTTCTTGGCTGACTTCATAAGCCCCCGAAAGTGTACACTTTTAGCTTATAGTGGGTAGTACATATAGAAAGTGTATCCGCCCCCTAAACCCTAAACCCTAAACCGAAGTGTATCCGCTCGGCGACTAAGCATTGGATCTTTAGCCAAAGAACCAGAGAACGGCCGGGCCCCCCCCGACTCTTATCCTCATGGAGCCTAAATAAGGGGTTAGGGTTCAAGGTTTAGGGTTTAAGGTTTAGGGTTTAGGGTTTAGGGTTTAAGGTTTAGGGTTTAGGGTTTAGGGTTTAGGGTTTAGGGTTTAGGGTTTAAGGTTTAGGGTTTAGGGTTTAGGGTTTAGGGTTTAGGGTTTAAGGTTTAGGGTTTAGGGTTTAGGGTTTAAGGTTTAGGGTTTAGCCCTAAACCCCTTAAATTACCCGAGAACCCGGTGCCTCCTGAAAAGGCGAATAGTCAACCTCGACACAGGTGCCACCGATGGCTTGCAAAGCCTCCACTGACCTGATGAGGTTTAGGGTTTAGGGGTTTAGGGGTTAGGGTTTAGGGTACCTGCAGAAGGATGAGGGGCCCACTCAAAGGATCTGAGGACTTAATAAGCGGCTTTATCGGTCAATGTACCCACATAGTATGTAGTTTGGGTGTAGAGTACCCGTACAGGGACTACTTTAGGGCCGAAGTACATACTGCATGAGTACATGGGACCTTAGGGTAGGGGTTTAAGGTTAAGGCCCGGTGAGTATAATTATGTCTACTCAATAAGTCCCCCGATCCTCTACGTAGTGTTTAGGATTTAGTGAAACTATAAAGCCCACATACTACAGATGCAACAAGAGAGAGTTCAGGAACAAGGATCCATAATACAGGGGTCTTCACAATTAGAATAAATGTTGGGTGCTTCTTCCTCTCTTGCAAAACTCTGTCCTTCTGTTGATCATATAAATCCTGCATTACCCATAATAAAGAATGTACCATAATTACCATAGTGGAGGGTCAGTAAGGTTATGCAGGATTCATATCATCAGCCGTTCCAGAAAAGCTTCTGTCAACGGCTTTGGGACTCTTTGGCCCTACCATGAAGCTTCAGGCCCAAGCCTCTCTAATTCAAGCCCCCAAAGCTAAACACTTACGATTCGGGGAATAATTGTCAGAATTCCTGATTATATAATTATCAATACTCAGAGGATCATGGGACTTAGTAAGTAGGTTATAATTAGGGTTATAAGTCCCCTAAGTGGGGTTATCCTAATTATAACCTACTTATAACCTTACTTAAAAAAGTCCCCTGACCCTCTAAGTATAGTATACTGGGCCCCAGAACGCTATTCTAATTATTAGAGCCTACACTACCCATCGCAGGTGGCGCCAAAACGCTTAAAACCTAACACCACCCACGCCCTGACGGGGCCTGTCCCAAGCTGCAGCATATTCCTTTGCCCTTGCCTGCAGCGGGGTATAACACAAGCGGCGGGGGGTAGGGGGGGCGGGGAGTGTCAAGAGATCCTTCAGGGCTTAAGACGTTAATGTTGTTAGCATTTGCATAGGGTTTCGGGGTATGTTCTACGATAGCCGTAACAATAAGGAACCCACCGAAATAGTATGGGCCATCGTTTACACTCTGACAAAAAGAGGTTATAAGGTATGGCCGGCACACTAAGGCACGCAGAATGAAGTAAGACGAGCTCAGCGCGCGCAAACGCCACTCCCCAAATCCTTGAAGATTACCAGAATAAGGAACAGAACCCCCAACTTAGAGGTCCCCCCCCCCCCACATCCCAAACCCCAAAAATCACAAGCCCACACCGTCTAGCGCGCCTGCGCTGCAGATCCGAAGCTAGTGAAGTCCAGGAACTGCCGGCTTGGAATGCCAAACCTCGGCAGAAGGGATTTCGGCGTTTGGGGTTCAAGTTATTTTCGGGGTTCGGCAAAAGCCAAAGGGGGCTTTTATCAAAGGGGGCCTTTTCGGGATTCAGGCTGCCCGACAACTACAGACTACAATAGGGTTGGTGGAATCGGACATCTACCAGCACAAGGTCAAGCCGATCGAAGTAGCAGCTCAAGGGGGATGCTTTGCAAATACTCAATCATGCAACTGGCGTTGAAACACAAATGCTTGGACAAGGCTGCTCTTGGGCTGAACAATGGCAACACTGCAGGACGGCTCAGGGACTTGGGACAGAAGATTGCCAGTGCGTCCGACCGCCCGGCCAAGCGTGACAAGAGCATAGCGGCCACGGGTGGCCAGGAAGGAAGAAACCCGTGTGAATCTCAATGTGACGAATATCAAATGCTTCGGGATTCAGAAAGCAACTCAGCGAAGAAAAGAAACACTTATCGGTATAGAGTACTGAGCAACAATACGAAGATTGGGGATGGCTGTAAATGAATATCCTGTTGCAAAAGTTTGGACAATTCGGTGCTCGCGGTACCTGCAAACGATCAATGCATCAGGGGATGTGTTTTGCTGCAAAAGATGTCCGGGGCATTTTGCGGGAAAATGCGGGGATTTATAAATTCCTGCAAAACGCGAAGCCGCTTTGCGGTAAAATGCGGGGATTTGCGGGGAATTGTAAAGCTCAGTTTGTAATCTTCGGCACATTTTGCGGGAAAATGCGGTGATTTGTAAATGCATCGCAACGTTTGTGATGCGTTTCCCATGAAAGGCAATGTCTGAGCTGCCGCTCATTGCTAAATTGACGAGGCCAGACTGCATCAATGTTCTGCCTTAATGACCATAAGCAGCATGAAACAGCTCAATCAATTTCCCTACCGTCAAGAGCTAACACTCGTTCGGACAAACTCTACTGGGAATCGTATCGACATGCTACTCGCGGACTGTCTGTTACCGACTCTGGCTGAAAGCTGTTGCAATGCCAGCATGATTGCACAAACTCGTGGCGATGCAGCAGGAAACTTTGCTCACCAGACGCTACTGCTGTTCGTGGGTTCTTGCTGTCCGGCTTACCAGCCCATGTTTTGTCAACAAGCTCTCTGGCTTCGAAGCCATCCCCTCCCGTGCAAGCGGTGTCATGGTTTCGAGCTGGCTCCAGCTTTCCACAAAGGAGAAGCTTCGTTTCTTTGGCTGATGTGCACTCGCAGGAGCAGAAAGAGAGATCGTCCCAAGAACAACCGTTTGCTGAACATAGTGGTGAGATAGCATGGATGGCCCACCCGTGCAACAATCTCCCGCTTCGCCAAAGGACCTTTGGGAAAAAGCCCCCTTTAGACCTTTCCGAGGGGTTTCGGGTTTAAGGATTTAGCGGTTTGGGTTTGAGGATGAAGATTCCCGGGTTTCCTTGGGGCTTCGGATATCGGTTTCAAGGGCGCGTTGGGTTGAGGGTCGTAGTTTACTGAGCTCTTCGATTCGTGAGGAATTCAAGGCTTGACCTGGCGATCCTTCTGATAGAGCTTTGCGGCTGAATGCTTGCCCATAGGCTCAATTGTAGTTTCTTTCTTTCTTTTGCAATTAGGATCTTGTATACCATGGAGCCTATGGGTAGGGTGTAGTGTCCTGATGAAATGGCAGTATAAACCCTAAACCAAACGAAGCATGTTCATCTAGTTGTAGGCGTCCCGGCGTGAAGGCTTCACCGGTTGCCAGGCGCCGCCCATGCCGCAGCTCCTGTGTTTCGGTGGCTACCCGAAGGTACCAGTCACCGAATCTTAGGTTTAGGGTCTAGCGAATTAGGGATTCAGGGTTTACTCACCGAACCTTAGGTTTAGGCTTTAGGCATTTAGTGTCAGGGTTTAGGGATTTAGGGTAGAGCGCTTAGGGTTGAGGGGCCGCTCACCGGACTATCGTCCTATAGCCGGCGGAATACCTGCAACTTTATGCACTCTATTTGCAGTCCGCAGCTACGTTGGACCCTCAGGTTTTCGGTTTAAACCGATAGTGTGTATGATTTGCGGAGAGTTCGGATGAACATCGAGGGCTCATCAGGGTTAGGGTTTGGGGTTTGTGGTTGGGTATGCAAGTTTGTGGGACTGTTGGAATAAGGGTTCACTTATGCAACGCCTCCTTCGGAGGACCACCTCAGTATCTGTTTGCATCAGGAAAACAGGCGGACATGACACAAACAAAAACATAACGACATAGGTTGGTTCTGGGTAGATGATGACCCTAAACTTAAACCCCAAAGCCCTACAGTAAGCCCCAAACCCGAAACTCTAAACCCCTCAACCCTAAACCCTCGCCTCAAACCCAACACCCGACCTGAAGCCCCAAACCCTATAAACCCCAAACCACAATCCCAAACCCCCTAATCCCCTCAAACCCCAAACCCCTCAACCCTGAACCTCTAAGCCCTAAAGCCCCTCAAACCCTGAACCCCTCAACTCTGAACCCCAAAGCCTTAAAGCCCTGAAACCCTAAACCCAAAGCCCTAAAGCACCAAAACCCTAAACCCTAAGCCCTAAAGCCCCAAAACCCTAGACCCTAAGCCCTAAAGCCCCAAAACCCTAGACCCTAAGCCCTAAAGCCCCAAAACCCTAGACCCTAAGCCCTAAAGCCCCAAAACCCTAAACCCAAAGCCCTAAAGCCCCCTAGACCCTAAGCCCTAAAGCCCCCCAGACCCTAAACCCTAAGCCCTAAAGCCCCAAAACCCTAAACCCTAAGCCCTAAAGCCCCCTAGACCCTAAGCCCTAAAGCCCCAAAACCCTAAACCCAAAGCCCTAAAGCCCCCTAGACCCTAAGCCCTAAAGCCCCCTAGACCCTAAACCCTAAGCCCTAAAGCCCCAAAACCCTAAACCCTAAGCCCTAAAGCCCCCTAGACCCTAAGCCCTAAAGCCCCAAAACCCTAAACCCTAAGCCCTAAAGCCCCCTAGACCCTAAGCCCTAAAGCCCCAAAACCCTAAACCCTAAGCCCTAAAGCCCCAAAACCCTAAGCCCTAAAGCCCCAAAACCCTAAACCCTAAGCCCTAAAGCCCCCTAGACCCTAAGCCCTAAAGCCCCAAAACCCTAAACCCTAAGCCCTAAAGCCCCTAGACCCTAAGCCCTAAAGCCCCAAAACCCTACCCTAAGCCCTAAAGCCCCAAAACCCTAAACCCTAAGCCCTAAGCCCCCCCTAGACCCTAAGCCCTAAAGCCCCTAAGCCCTAAACCCTAAGCCCTAAAGCCCCCTAGACCCTAAGCCCTAAGCCCCCTAAACCCTAAACCCTAAGCCCTAAAGCCCCAAAACCCTAAACCCTAAGCCCTAAAGCCCCCTAAGACCCTAAGCCCTAAAGCCCCAAAACCCTAAACCCTAAGCCCTAAAGCCCCCTAGACCCTAAGCCCTAAAGCCCCAAAACCCTAAACCCTAAGCCCTAAAGCCCCCTAGACCCTAAGCCCTAAAGCCCCAAAACCCTAAACCCTAAGCCCTAAAGCCCCCTAAAACCCTAAGCCCTAAAGCCCCAAAACCCTAAACCCTAAGCCCTAAAGCCCCCTAGACCCTAAGCCCTAAAGCCCCAAAACCCTAAACCCTAAGCCCTAAAGCCCCAAAACCCTAGACCCTATGCCCTAAAGCCCCAAAACCCTAAACGCTAAGCCCTAAAGCCCCAAAACCCTAGACCCTAAGCCCTAAAGCCCCAAAACCCTAAACCCTAAGCCCTAAAGCCCCAAAACCCTAAACCCAAAGCCCTAAAGCCCCAAAACCCTAAACGCTAAGCCCTAAAGCCCCTGAAACCCTAAACCCTAAGCCCTAAAGCCCCTAAACCCTAAACCCTAAAGCCCCAAAAAACCCTAAACCCTAAGCCCTAAAGCCCCAAAACCCTAAGCCCTAAAGCCCCCTAGATCCTGGAACCCCTGAACTCCTGAACTCGGGCCTTGGCTGGTCGGTCGAAGGGATCAGCTCCCGAAGCATCTGCGGCGACTCCTTCGGTTTTTAGGTTTTTAGGGTTTCGGTTTTAGTGCTTTAGGGTTTAGGATGTTAATGCTTTTAGGATTTAGGGTTTGAGGGCTTAGGATTTTGTGTCTTTAGGGTTTCGGATTTTAGTGTTTTTAGGGTTTAGGGTGGTAGGGTTTAGGATTTTAGTGTTCTGCGCGTTTTAGCGAGTCCCGAGGTGTATTCCAACGCAGAACACCTGAACTTATCGTCCACTTTCCAGCCTGCCTCCAAGCCTTGAGTCCAAACGTCTGCAACCATCAAAGACCTAAGCGCCGAACATCCCTGAAAGAAAATGTCAGGCTCCTCCCGAATCTAAACGCCTTTCCCCTAAGCTCCGACACTCTATGCACTATGTATGTATGTATGTATATATATATATATATATTTATATGTTGTTGTTGTTGTTGTTGTTGTTGTCCGGGTGTGTATATATATCTATATCTATATCTATATCTATATCTATATCTATATCTATATATATATATATATATATATGTATGTATGTATGTATGTATGTGCTGCAAATATGTACGCCACCAGACTATGCCAGCATCGACCGCGACCGTGAACAGTGAGAAACCACCACAGCAGCACACCATTCCATCTGCACTCCAGGAGCATCCCTCGAGAGCCCTCCAGAGCGGCAAGAGCCCACCGAGAGCAGAAAACCTCGCGCTTTTGTTTCAGCCTCGAGAATGCGACAGGCTGGTACGTCAGGTTTCGAAAGCGTACGAAACCTCGATTTTATGCGCCTCGAGACGCGCTTCGTCCGAGAAGGTCGTCGATGGCCGCCAGCGGCCGACAGCCGGTTTTGCTTGGCTTGGGTTGCTTTCAGTAATTAGGGGTTTACAGGGTGGCTTAGAGAGATTGAACTTTTTGGGCTTTAGGGTTCGAGGATTTGGGGTATTTTTCAGGGAGCACTTGTGTAAGGTAAGAATAAGAGCTCCGTATTTACCAACAGCTTTGACAACAATCGGTGCCCGGTGCGAGGGTGGCAGGCTTCATGAAGCATGTGAGTGCGGAGTCACATGTTGAAGCCCAATTTCGGGAAACCTTTCTTCAACACGGTTTAGGGTTTAGGGTTTAGGGTTTAGGGTTTAGAGTTTCATAACTTGACCAGGGAACATCGGATAATTCAGGAGGATGACTGCTGGGAGTCCCAATACTTTACCTGGAGTGCACGAGGATGATCGACCTCAAGCCTACACCCTGAACCCTAAACTTTGGGTACGGCCCCCACTCAGAAATAGTTGAATAATATTCGTAATATAGATGTATTAGGACCTCAATAGTAGCCCTGTTATAGACTCTTACTGTATGGGGGCAGTACCTAACCTAAACTACACTAACTCTTGAGGCCTCAACC